TGGGCATTACAGAGCTGGGCGGAGGAAGAAGGCCGGGAGCTTCCACCTCGGCTATGGTGGAGCTCTACTGGTAGGACTAGGGAGGAGAGTGGCGAGGTACCTACCTGGCTATGGTGGACGCCATCTTCACCACCTTGTTAGGCGCTGCATCTGGAAGGCCCCAGTGGGGTTGCGCTGCACCAAGAAGGCTTCAAGACAGAGTCAGGCATGGAGGCCTGAACAGAAGCAGACATAGCTGCTTTGCGTTGTCTTTTGCACAGCAGGGCTAGGCCCTTAGTAGTCTGCCATACCCTCCGCCTGGTCGAGGAGGAAGATGGAGGCCATGGCTATGGTGGACCTCTAGTTATGCCAAGCAGTAGAAGCGGGATTCGGACTTTGATTCTGGTTCAGCCATTCATCATTATTATTATTATTTACTTTGTGAATAAGAGAGGAGGTGAAAGGAGGACGAGTTGGTTGGCGAGAAGGAGGGGGAATCATCATTGGTCTTTCGCCGGTGTACATCTTCTTCTTCTTCTTTATTATTTCTCCTTCTTCTTCTTCTTCTCTGTCTCTCTCTCCTCTCAAGTTCATTGTGCTTTCTCGTGGATTTTGCACTTCGAAATCGGCCAGGATTGTAACAAGGGTCACACACAGGTCGGATTGCACAGAAAAATGAAGGGAGAAGCAGTGTATGGACTATGTTGAGCAGCCACACTCACAGACTGGGAAAGACGGGTTTGGCCTGTGGAAGCACCACATCCAATCTACACAGTTACTATCACTGTTTCAAATGGCATGGCACAGACATGCCACGGGCAGCATGGCTTTCTCATGCTAGGAAAACAGAGACTTGACAATCACAGTTGTATAGGTACGGGAAGTCCAGCCCTAAAAGATTCAAGCCATTGTTGACAGACAAGGAGTCGTTCTAATTCTGGTTGCCACCAGGAACCACCAGCTGCACATAGGCAGCACAGGCACCCACTGAATATCGCAAAAGCCACTTTCCTCAGTATTATGCATATCTTTGAGGTGGGTTGCTGCGCAAATCAGTGTGTGATACATGGAGCACATTGGACAAGGAAGTGTGTATCCGGGAAGAGAGAGAGAGAGAGAGAGAGAGAGAGAGAGAGAGAGAGAGAGAGAGAGAGAGAGAGAGAGAGAGAGAGAGAGAGAGAGAGAGAG